GACGTCACGGTCGCAAACGTTGTGATGATGCCGTCGAGTCCCCCGTACACTGCACTCTTGATATGCCCTCCATGGTCCAAGTGGATTTCGTCGGCGGCGTTCTTGGCGATGTGGAGGATACGGGACGCTTCTCCGTCCTGGACGAGATGCGCGTGCTGGGCGCTGGCTTTGGTCGCGCCGTAGGATGGCTCGTGGTTGGTCCGCATCGTGGAGAATGAACGGTGCACGTGGACCGCGACGGCGCGTGCCATGGCCCAATGTCGTTGACGGATTGGGCCGTGCGGCCACTCCACTGGGTACACCGACCCACGTCGCCGCTGAAAGGCTGCTGGGCTCACGCACGATTACGAGGTAGTGAGTCGGGCTAGCTCCAGTTTGCATGGCTACTGGAGGATGTCCCGCCACTTGACAGGCAGGGAGAGAGCGACGGAGACCGGGGAAGGGCGCGAACACGGACGCCGTGGGCATGCGGGAATGAACAGCGCCAGCTTTGTCGGTCCATCCACCAAGGACGGAAACGTGTTGGTCGACGCTGCCGTGACTCGACGGCGGCGATTTCGTTGGCATGGCAGACGAGAATTGTTTCAACGGGGACCTCTCGTCGATGGCCCCACCTCCCAACATCCCATACTCTCCACACGACATGTGTACCACGGGACAACGTCGCCCGAGACTGCCACGTCACCTGACGAAAACACCATGCGTCGGCGACCGTCCGAAGAGGCGTCGCCTGGGCAAGGACACGGCGCAAGGGGCCGGTCGATGGCGCACGCGGTGCGACATGCCGATCAGTTGGGGGAATCACCGGAATCACCGGCGAGGCGCTTCGAGACACACCGCACTTGCCGTCCTTCGACCTGAACACACCATGGAGAAGGGCCACCATGGCCATGACTGGCTGCGTCCGTTGCTGAACTCTGTAGGGGCCACACACACTGTGGGAAGTTGCTGGGCGGCGCTCCCACGTGCCGTCCGTCAGCTGACTACTACACGCCGTCGTGTGCATGCGGTTAGTCGCCGCCGCCTCGCCGGACCGTCACCACATCCACACGGCCGGTAGATGTGAAACAAGTGCGGGCGACCGCAACTCAGGACAGGTCATCGTGCCAGATGTATGGGGCATGCAGTCTTTTGTCACGGAAGGGATCGCGGCCTCGACCAAAGCTGAACGCGGGAGGCTGCGTATGCGATGTCGCAGTCGCTTCAACTGGCGGTGCGATCCACCCATGAACTGCGGCGGCAGCCCCCCATATGATGAATCGGATACGTGCCGTCTCCAGCAGGCCCCATCTGACGACATCACCACGGATTCATCAGCGTCGACAGAATACTCGCTTCGACCATCATCACCCCCGGCGTCATCCCCCTCGAGGACGTCTCCCTGCGGCTCTCTCCAAGGCACTTTAACATGTTGCACACACGCGGGGGGGGCAATCCCCTGCTTTGTCCTGCGCCGTTCTTGGTCAAGCCGAGAACCCCCCCACCCTCGACTTTCTTTTGAATCGATGGATCACAACTTTCCCCGCGGCCGTCGCCGACGGCGCACTGCGAGATGGACAGGGTGCTCCTCCGTGCACATGCATACAAAGCCCCCTCCCCTCTTCGGCTGTGCAAGAGTGCCTCGAGCCACCCGAGTGTACTCGAATGCAGTAGAAACGTACTACCCCTCTACGTAGAGCATTTGAATTCAGTCGAGCAGCGCCGACGGGACTTTGTGAACTCGACGAGTTGGGGGCGCCGTCCATTCATATCACCCCGTCAGAGGGACGCCCCCGCCACGGCCGCGACTGGACGCAACGTCCAGCACGCAAACAAAGCTCCAGAAAAAGTCGCTCCCCTGCGAAGTGCACGTTCCTCGAGGGGGAATGGAGGGGGGCGGCGGACCTCCCCGCACAGGAACGGCTGAACATGTTTCTCCGGCAGCCATCATCTGATTTCTCCATTCCGTTTGGATGGCCGCGACGGCAGCCCATCAACGGCTACTTGCCGACGCTGGTTGCTTTTGACAACAAGGCCGCAGCCCTTTCAGCTTGTCTGACCTGGCCAAGCACCGTCCCGATGGCTCTCAGCCATACGTCGTCTTCGTGGGAGGTGGGGGTTCGACAGAGGATTGCCCGAGGCAACAGCCTAATGGATGCACTGCCTTCCCCTGTCCCCCCCAACCAGCCAAAGCACGTGGTCGACTACCGACTGACTTGATGCTGTGCCTGTCTAGAGCGCTGCCGCATGTAGGGGCATATCGTCAAAAAAACGTGGGTCGTGTACCAAAAGGATAGGTCTCTTCAACAACCCCGGTGTTTGCGCCATGGACGGATCCTCCATGAAGCCCGCTCCGGGTCCCACACCCGCATACGGTCGGCGGCATACTCTGCGCCATCCCACTTTCATCCGCGTAACATCTAGTGTTGGTCTTGCGGCTTTTCTGGTTGCCGCGCCTGTCGCATCAACTTCATGTGCGCTCTTTCCACTTCGTCGGGGTGGGCACAGCTCGCCACTGACCCGACGACCCACGTCAGATCGATGGCACATGAATGGGTGGTGTGGATCGCCGTGGGTTTGCCGTTAGTCCCTTTTGCTTGCAATCGAAAATCGCAAGCCCATACGACGGCAAGCGCACACGTGGTCGTCGCAGGGCTCACAGAGAAGCATGCCATGGCCGTCAGCCCTCTTGCGGCGATGCCATCGAGGCCATGCACGCAAGAGGCGGGAGCCATTTGCCGACTGTTTTGTTGATCGTCGTATACTACATGCAAGTAACTTGGATGTACTAACCACGGAATGTTGATTTTGGGCCGAATTCATGTTAATCCCTTCCAACCCCCCCCCCCGTCGTCGTCGTCCAGTGTGAAAGGGTCGGGCGAACGTGGAGCCCGTGGCGCTGTCGGTCGCACCGCATCCCATCGATATCTCTCGTTCCCATCGAGCGGACGACGCACGGAAGGCCACCCAGCACACACGTGTGTGGTCGAATGGTGACGCTGGCATTTACCAAGACGAATTGCACGTGCGATGGCGCGCTCTTTCACGCCAAGTACCTCAGGTCACGTTTTTCCCGATGGTTGGCACATGGCTCACACTCTCGCTGTGGCTCGAACAGGGCGCACCGCTCGGGAAGTATTAAGGTACAACGACGCCCTGGACTCGCGCGTGATTCAACGGGATGCCTTTTGTAGCCCGTTCGGTACACCACCCATGACGCGCCGGTAAAGTGACAATGTGTAGGTGCTTTCCACACTGCTGCCCCACGCACTCCCATGGCAAGTTTTGTACGACGTCGATCGACTTGAAACTGACCGACGTGGACTCGCCCGTGCCGAATGTGCTGGCGTTCGCCCGCTTCCAAGAGGCAACGACGAGGGTGTTCCAGGCAGGGGATGTCGTCGATGCGTCGTTCATTGTGGGTAGCTGCAGGACGACTCAAAACCCAAAGGGCGAGTGGATTCCAAGCCATTCGTCGTACCACAACGAGGTGGGCCCGTCAACGCGCTTCCAGATCCATCCCGATTGCCTGTAGGCCAAACGAGAGATGGTGTTTCAGCTCCACCATGAACCGGGGGGATGGCACTACGGGTGGGTCGGTTCTGCCAACCAAGTGCACCGCGCTTGCCTTCATCGATTCGTGGTACCGACGACTTGCTCGTGGTCTCCGCTCAAGCGACATCGGCAGGGATACGTGGTGGAATGGCATGACTCGACCAAGCTTCGCGTCGTTGTGTCCACTGCGTCGCCGCCATTCATTATCATGTCGTACCGCCGCGCATGCTACGCGTGCCAGAAGCATCGCCCCCAGAAGGATGGAAAGCCGTCCGACGCCGTGCTCGAATGCGTCTGCGATGGGGCATTCAATCTCGATCGGTCGACGGCATCGAGCGAAGGCACGGTCGTGGTGGGTCCTGCCGGACGATCCGATCGAATCACCGACGACTCGTTGGACGATGTGGCGGCAATCGAGCGCCACCTGCGCGTCTTCATGGCGTTCATTTCCGTTCCGTCCATCCATTTCTTTTCGGCCCAGTTGCCCACACTCGACGATTGTATCCGAAGTGGGCTGGTCCACCCCATGGTGGCTGCTCACGACCTCCGCACAGACGACTTGCCTCCATTGCATGTCCCCCTATCCATCGTTCGCCCGGACGTGGCCGCCCCCCTCGTGGCCGACGCCAACCTGGAATCGCTCAAGGCGTTGTGTGTTGACGTGGTCCGTGGAGAGATGGTTCTCCCAACATGCTCACTGGCGCGTCGTCGGTAGGCGCTGTCCACCGTGACCTTTGCCGCGTTCAAGCTCAACGCCAAGCTCTTCTCCGACAACGCCGAACGCCTCTTGGACCGCGACGCCCTGTACGACGCATACGTTGAATGGATCGAGCTGTGCCATCACGCCATGGCCGACCGACTCCAGCGCTTCAACACTTCGTTGGCCCAACTTACCGATGCCATCATCCACGCGACCACCACCCACCACGACGAATGGAAGCCCCTCAGCACCTCGATCACGGCCCTCCTCGACGATCCACGCGGCAGCACCACACCCGAGTTTGACTACTTTGTCGCGCAGCTGCGAGAAGTGTACATGGTCGTCGTGTGGCCAAAGCCGCGCACCGTGCTGAAACACGAGCTCGCTTGTAGGCTGAAAACCACCCGCCGCTGCGATCCGCATTCCCATCCTCCAAGTCCCCCTTTGACGGGCGATGGATGTACTACACGACCACGTCGGTCGTGTATGCCGCGACAACGTCCCCCGAGTTGGATTTTTCGCTCGCGACGTTTTTGCGCTGTGTCACGATGGGCTATTCGTTTCAATTGCGCGTCGTCGGCCATGTCGTCCAGGTCCGTCGATCGCCGCCCACTCTGTGCACACTTAACTACACCTCGAATCGTGTAGATGCGGTCGGACCTGTCCTTGTTCGACACAGTGTGGGCCGAATTCATCTTGGACTCGACGGCGCGAGTGTTTCGTGTGTTTCCAAATGGAGAAAGCAGCATGGCCCGGCTGTCGGGGCATCTCCACGGGGACTACATTGGCCGCGTGGTCAACACGGACGTGCGGGAAATCTGCATGGACTTGTTCAGCTGGCCTTTGGATGGCTGCACCACCATCCACCGCATCACGGTGAAGCTACAGCCTACCCACCACCCGTTCGAGTTGGCAGTGTCGTTTGCCGTTGGGGTGGCCACGTCCGTGGCAGGCGACACCCCAGACTATTCTGTCTTGTCGGCCTCAGACCGGTATACCAGCTACGTTGCGCACGACGAGACTGCGATTGCGAATGTTCAAGCCCTCTACAGACTATGCACGTGACTCGAACAACGACTTCTTGCTGTGCACACGAGCTCACGACCGTAATGAACTCGTTTGTCGGGTGTTGGGGCTTCTGCACACATGACGTAAAGCCGTCGAATCAGCTTTGCGATGGTGCCAGGTCCACCGCAGGACACACGCACGGGAATGAGCTGGGTTCGCAATCTGAGCTCAACTTGCGCAGACCGAGCGCACGCAATCCCTGCCATGCTGCCTTCGTGCCGTCGGTTCTGGTGCCGCCAGCGTCCGCAAAAAGTGCAAAAATTACATGTAAGAATGGTTCTACTAAAAATATATAACTATGTTTTAGTGGGAAGCAAGATATATTTTCGATAATGAAAATATACTCCACATGCAAAGGAAGGCGCCAACATTCACGGGTGACGTGATCGTTCGACTCT